AGTTTTATTCTAAACAAAGTAATGGTGAATTAAATAAATCAAAGAATTATAACTCCGCCCACAAATAAGCTGCTAACGAATTACTTTGATTACCAGTTTTTTCTTTTTACCCTGGTTGATACGGTTTTATGCTGGCACGTATTTGTGACAGTCGGCGCGAAAGGGTTAAAGGTTGTCTGCTGGAACTGTTGAAATTATGATTTTATCTTTTTTTTAATATTTATATGTTTGTTATATTAATTTGAGATTATTAGAAAGGAAGAGAGAAGAGCAATTTTACTCTTTACTTGAGTACATTTTAAGATTATTTCATGTTTTTACTAGCTCTCCTATAAAATAGATAATCAGAGATACCAACTGCTCCGGACAGTTCAAAATAATTGAAAAAGCGGTAAATAACTACAAAGTAAATTTTGCGAATACTTAACTTCTTTTGCTTCCTTCTTAAAGGGTATAGCATGACATAAGTATCATAAAGTGGTGAATTATATAAGCCTACGAATTATTTAGAAGTAGTGGTGGGGAAAAATTTACTAAATTGAATTTATTAAACCAAGAATCACAATTGATAAACTACCACTTTAAAATATATATTTGCTGTCCGGAGCAAGTTGGCATCTCTGGATAATGCGCAAATAGGCTACCTTTTATAGCGGTCAGTTAAAACTTATTGCCTGATCAGACCTCTATAACAATGTAGAGAGGCATCGCCTTCTACATCAGAAAGCCTCCACACGGTTTTTTATAAGTAGTCAGCTCAGATTATTGAAAAAGTGAATCAGTTGTGCGCATGAAACCAAATTCTATATTAAAAGTAATTGAGAGAAATGTATCATATATATTTGAGAATTAAATCTGTAGTGATTGACAAGTAAATAAGACAAAACCAATCATATTCATAAATTAAACAAATTTTTAGACGCATATTTGCTACCACTTTCTAATTCTTAATAGATTTTCTACTAAATGGATTTTCGTAAACTGGTTTACCTTTTTAGCGGTCTGATCGGTCTACTTATAAAAAACCGTGTGGAGGCTTTTAGTTATAGGAGATGTTGAACCAGCTACCTCCACGCTCTACAGGGCGTGGAGGTAGCTGGTTCAAATCCCGCTGTTACCTGGCTGTATCTTCATTCTGTCCTTTCTACTTAACCCCTTAACGATCGGTTAATTTTCAAGAAAACGATCATAAAAGTGTCTATTTTGCCAAATACGCGTATTTGCTTAGTGCTAGTATCTAGTTTAAAATACACTAACTATTTACAATTACCTTAAAAATAACCTGGTACAGCTATATAGTGTGTAAAATGAGAAGTAAAATGTTTTCCGGGCAAAAGAAATGAATTAGTTTTATTCTTATTGGTGCATTACTACTGAACACTCCAGCCCGTCAATATCACGGGAGCGAGAAATAGCGAGCGAAAACTCACCCCGTCATTTTCACGGGAGCGAGAAGGAAGGGGTTAACAAAGGTTTAAAGTCTTAATTAAGCACACAAGCCTGCAAATGTACGTTAGACCAATAAATAAATAATAAATAAAATAAATAACTATATGGCGACTTTCCGTTCCAGGAGGTGATTGCCATTTTATAGCAGGAAATAAACTATTTTATGATAAATTTTTCCAACCGGGTAGCTAAATTTATATTAAAATATATGATTCTTTTTTTTCAGTAAATTTGATTAAAGATAGATTCTATCTCCTTGACTAATTAATACGTAAGTACAAAAATAAAAAAAATTTGATAATCCTTCAAAGATCTTTTCAGCTATTTATTTATTAGGACATGCCTATGAACTTCTGATCCTTCTGAAAATGATCTTCCACAGTAGTAACAAACTGAAAATTGAAAAATAAATTGTAAGTAATAATTATTTATATTTTACCAGACCTTAATCACATGATCTAATAGGCGTAGGACATTTATATGTATGTGTAATGGTAGATAAAAATTGTTCTAAGTTCAAGCTATTACTTTTAGAGTGAAATAGAATAGTAAAAATCTACTAAATTGAATTTATTAAACCAAGAATCACAATTGATAAACTACCACTTTAAAATATATATTTGCTGTCCGGAGCAAGTGCAACCTTAAATAGCACAGTCTAGCTGAGGCGATATATTATAGCAGAGATGCCAACTTGCTCCGGACAGCAAATATATATTTTAAAGTGGTAGTTTATCAGTTACGATTCTTGGTTTAATAAATTCAATTTTGCAGATTTTTATCCACTACTATTTCTAAATAATTCGTAGCCTTTTATAATTCACCACTTTATAGTACTTAAGTCATGCTATACCCTTTAAAATGCAAGCAAAAATAGTCAAATATTTGAACATTTTATTTTGTAGTTGTTTACCGTTTTCTTAATTATTTTGGCGTGTCCGGAGCAGTTGGCATGTCTGATTATAGCTACGGATGTCAACAACACCATTTTCTTTATTTATTTATTTAATTATTATTTATTTATTTAGTTTCATTATATGTCTTTCTTTAAGTTTTATTAGATTGGTAGCGAAATAAATAGTAAAACTTGCAGAATTAAAATAATTACGCCTACTTTTTAAAAATGTCACCACAAGAAAACTGCAATAGAGTTGCATTTGATATGATACTTCAAATTTTTGATATGTAGCAGAGATGCCAACTTGCTCCGAACAGCAAATATATATTTTAAAGTGGTAGTTTATCAATTGTGACTCTTGGTCTAATAAATTCGATTTAGTAGATTTTTATCCACCACTATTTCTAAATAATTCATAGGCTTACATAATTCACCACTCTATAATTCAATAAGTCATGCTATACCCAGAGATGCCAACTTGCTCCGGACAGCAAATATATATTTTAAAGTGGTAGTTTATCATTTATGATTCTTGGTTTAATAAATTCAATTTAGTATATTTTTATCCACCACTATTTCTAAATTATTCGTAGGTTTATGTAAATCACCACTTCTTTGTACTTATGTCATGCTATACCTCTTAAAAAGCAAGCAAAAATAGTCAAATCTTTGCAAAATTTACATTGTAGTTATTTACCGCTTTTGTAATTATTTCGGCGTGTCTGGAGCAGTTGGCATCTCTGTATACCTTTTAAAAAGTAAGCAAAAATAGTCAAATATTTGCAAAATTTACTTTTAAATTATTTACCGTTTTTATAATTATTTTGGCGTGTCCGGAGCAGTTGGCATCTCTGGTGTAATGGAGGGAAAATTACTTATAATAAAAGATACAAAACTAAAAATAACTTAAATTCCGTTACCATATTTTTTTACGAAACGGAGCAAGTTGGCATCTCTGGCTATAGCTCTTTGTTGTTTAAAAAATAGTGGTTTCTAAACAATTAAAATCAATTAGTTTTACATTTCTAGTGGTTTGTAACATTTGTTGAAGTAATGTTGGCAGACTGGCTGCACAGCACCGAAAAAGGAACAGCAAATTTATTTTTTTTTTAAAATTTTAGTAAGGCAAGAAGGACATTAGCAAGTGCAACTTTAAGCAGTACATTTTAAGTGAAGTGACATGCTTTGCCCCTTTGTTATTTATAGAATAGTGGTTGCGAAATGCTTAAGAGCAATTAGTATTAGATGAGCCATTGTGGCTCGAGGGATAGAGCACTCACCTCTCATTGAGGTGAACTGGGATTCGAATCTCAGCGATGGCAGGTTGATACAAATTTCGCACCAATTTCGCTGACATAAAATATCCTTAATGGTTCATGGAACAGCCTTGAACCGTCAGCCTTGAATTTTGAAACAGCCTTGAACATTTATATTAAATCTAACCATAAATATTTATAGTATAGATATTTATAACATAAATATATTATGGTAGATAAAATTATCTAATTTCTTCAAAGGAAGTTTTTATACGAGGTGGCAGAAAATTGGCAACAATGTTCTTATCAAATATTATTTTATTCTTAAAATATGATTTAAAATCAATAACTCGCTTCTTTTATGATTTTTAGGAAACACTCTATAGGAAAAATTTATTTAATTTACTTACCTTCAATTTTACTAAAAAAGGATAAATAATTTATTTGATAATTTAATCAAATTTATATTCAAAAAATCATTTATTTAAAACCTTTAAAACAAAATAAATATATTTGATTCTTTAAATAACAAAACTTTGAATCGAAATCACACATATACTTTTAAAACATAACTTTTCATAAGATTTTTGCCATGTGCTGAATAGAAATGTTATTGAAAATAAAGGAAATATCGTAAGAATATAGAATATAGAATGAATATAGAATATAAAATGAATATAGAATATAGAATAAAAATTATAAACTGCTATTTTGTTAAAATATATAGAATTTGCAAAAAGTAGCATGCATCAAAATGTTTAAAAAAATTTTAACGAAATGAAAGTAATGGTCCTCACTTATGTAATGAAGTAATTTTGAACATTTATATAGATATGAATTACTATATAAAATGTTTTAAACAGCAATTAAAATTTCTTTGTATAACAAACTGCATCAATCCACAAAATATTATTTTCTTCAAAATTATAATATTAATTAAATTACATACATAAATTCTGATACAAATTGTACACCTCTATTAAAGTTCTGTATTAAAGTGAAGGAAAATCATTAAAAATAAAACGTATGAAATATAATAACAAAAATTTTTTAAAAAAAGTATTGTAGAATATGGAGCAATATAATGATAAACAACATTCAGAAGAATTCTTTTAGAGAAATAATGTAGAAAATAAGATATTTATTTGTATTATGATGTCATCCAGTGGAAATTTCAGAAACTTATAAAGCCTATACCTGAAAACAATACTTAGGAACAGTTTAATGAAAAATTGTTTTTGAAAGAAATGTGGTTCATCACAAATTTATGCCAAAATCTTGATTCGATAATAATATATTATTGCAGAATTTAATGCAAAACTGCTTTATAAACATAAAACTTGAATAGTTCAATAAATATAATAACATTGTTAAATAAAAGAAATTTTAGACAGAGAATCAAAAAAAGAAAGTAATTTATCAGATATACAAGTAAATTTTTAGTTGTTACAAACATATCAATACAAATATGGTAAATTTCGAGAATAGTTTTATCTAATATACATTATATTCTCTGAGCAGTTGTTAAAAAAATTACTCTATAGCATGCTTTAATAAGGATTGTTATTTAATTACCTTTTCTAATAATCATTTTAGGGTTATCAAATCTTGAAACTAGAGACGTTTTGGTTCCGTACCTTTACCGCCAAAATGCGCAACAGGACCAAAAATTGGCCATCGTTTGTAAATAGTAGAATGTAAATAGCTTTGCAATTCTGGTAAATTTTCAATTCTATCTTGATAAGCTTTAAGACTATGAAATTCATTTAGCACAGTTGGTATTAGAAGCCGATAAAAATCAAAAGTTTCATACGCCATGAAATCCACATAAGTCACATTATCACCAGCAAGAAATTTGCGATCAGCTAAAAATGCAACAAACAATCTAAGTTGAGCTGGAACATTTTTCACAAACTCTGGCTTTATTTTTTCGAACTCATGATTATAACAAGTTCGAATCATGCTGGTTCGAAAATCAATAATTTGCTGTTCAGCCAAAGTTGCTCGCACCTTTTCCTCTTCGGTATTTCCATCCAAACCATGCTTTCTGGCAAGGTATCTCAGTATGGCTGTACTTTGCGTAAGAGCCACATTTTCATCTATGTAATACGGTAAGTTGGGAAAGTCTAAATTCAAGTTGAATTTGTCATTCTGCCAGCCATCGTAGCTCAAGTACCTCTTGTCGACGAATTCAATTCCTTTATAATGTAATAAATACCTTACTGGTTCAGCAAGACCTCGTATGTCCCAATATCCAAGTGTGCAACCTTCAGACATGTTTAAAATAAAAAGTGGGTTTAAGGACACTAAAAACCTGAGTCCAACATCAGCTGTTATGTTTTTAAAACTGAAGTTATCAAACAATGATAACACTTCTCTCACAAATGGCGTTGTTTACATTAAGTCCAATGCTCTCTATGAATTTTTGTTGAAACGGAAGCAGCGAACAAGCTGCTAATCTATCTTATCACGATAAGTTGTTGGGACCAGATAAAGCTGCTTGTAGTTAAAAGTAAAACAATAAGCTCTGAACAAATGGCTGAGGTTTTTATTTCCTTTTTATGTTTCTAATTATAAGTCGTTGCTATGGTTGTTTTTATCAAGCTTTTATCTTTTTTTTTCTCTTCTCGTGAGAAAAAAATTACCGTCAGTTTTATTATGAAACACGAGAGTCATATTAATATGACTTGACAATTTCGTCTATCATCTTGTACTTTATCCTCAAATATTGTTGACTCATATGCATTTAACGATAAATAGAAATTAAATTGCGGCTAAATTATAAAATCATTTCAGTTTCAAAATATTTAAAGGCAATCACTTAAAAAAATTACAGAAATTTCGAATAAGAATGAAGCAAAAGTTGTACTGGTAAGATGTGATGTAGTTCAACAAATGTAGTTATTTAAAAAAAAATTTGAGATCTAGTTATTTAAAAAAAATCTTTAAGAAGCATCAAAAGTAGAAAAATTTAAAAACTGGAATACTCACGCTTTGTTTTTTCAATGCACACAATATTTCCCTTCTAAAACAGATCGGCTGATAGTTTCGTTGGTTCCTTAAAAACAAGTTCTTTTTAATTTAAGAAACAAAATTTAAGGTTATTTAGGGAAATGTATATAATTCGAAACAATTGTCTAGACAATATATGAAAATAGCGGGAAAAAGAGTTGACTCGAACAATTTGAGACATTCAAATCACGTGCCTGGATTTTAATCTAATCTATTTCAGCTAAAACTAGGTCAAATATAAATACAATAGAACCTTGATTATCTGGAGCTCAATTATAGAATTCTTCGATTATCCGAAACCCATTCCGAAGTAACTAAAGGCATTTAGACACACTTTCACAATATATGATGTTTCCTAATTATTGTTGCAAAAACTAATCCGAAATGTGTTGATTAGAATACGGCAATGAAAAGAAAACATAAATTTATGAATAATATTTTGCTTATAATGTATAAGTTAAAAGAATAAAAAACATGTTTAAAGAAATTTATTCCGTTATTATTTGTTCTGATTAATTTCATACTTTTACTCATACATCTAAAATTTATATGATTCGAGATTCAAAAAGTGTTACAATTGTATATAAAGTTAATTACATAAATTTTCAAAAAAAAATTTATGCTTTTTTTGACAAAAAAATTTTTTTTGAAAGAAACTACCAGGGTAATTTGGGTTTGTGAGTGGGTTAAAAACTCTAAAACCAATCTTTCGTCATTTATTTTTATAAAATTAGATTAGGAAAAAAAAATTATTTGGTTATACTTATTCCACTTTATTAAGATCTCTAAGATCTTCTAAGATCAAAATTTCTATAAAATAATCATTTGTTCAAACGAATTAAAAGTACAATTTTTTATATATATATACGAAGATTTTAAGAAATCAAAGGAAGTATGATAAAAATATCATTAACAACCACTGACAATATATTAAAACACAAATGTTACATTTTGGTCAAAAGTAAGTAATATGTGATAAACATTAAAAAATTTCTATAGCTAAAACAGACCTCATAGTGGTTCGAAATAGAAAATCAGGAGAAAATATTACAAAGAAGCTTAGACAAAATCAAAATAAATTTAGCACAGAAAGTTCTTTTAAAAAACATAGAGCAAGAAGAAAACTAATTAACAAGTTATAATTTAGCAAACTAAACATCTATCTGAAAAGTTATAATTTATCGTTTTCTTAAGGAAACGTTTTTTATTTTCTAAACTTTATCAAAACTGATAAACTAAATTTTATTCCAAAAGTTTAATAAACTTTTTTTAATTTCAGAATGACCTTATGGCAGTTCGTATCCTATTTCAACATTTAGAGTACTGAAAACTTACATTATTTTGTGGTCACCGAACTTGAAATAATTTTTATTAAACTTGATAAAAAATAATCCTTCAGATAGTTTATCTTAACATAATTTCAACATTTGCATATTTAAGAATAAAATACTTATCAAACTTTCTACTATTTTCTATCACAATGTATTCATTTTTTTTAAGACTTAAATTCATTGTTACAAACACATTTACATTTCGGGTTAAGATTTTAAGAAGAAAACAAATTGAAATTATTTTTGTTTCTCACTTTTCTATGTTGATAACAAAAATAAAAACAAATATCTTATTCATCTTAATTTTGAGTAATATTGCTCACTTAGAAAGGAAAAAATATATACATATATAGCAGAAGGTTGATAAATTTTAATTCCTTACAAACAAACATTTTTTGAGTATTTAATATTAGCATTTTGAACAGGATATCATAATATGCCTCACTTGTTACATTCAGTAACATAAAGGAGTCGTAATAGTGTTTTAAAACAGAAGAAAAAAATCAAGAAAAAAAAGTTAAAAAGGAATATCAAGAAAATATCAGCACTTGCAAAAAGAATATTAGAACATCAGTTCCTAAAATGATCATACATTTTACCTCAATGTTTAGTACAAGACTAATTTAACAATTTTCCAAATTCTTGTTTCATTACTGCCTGCCTAAATGTATGCGTATAAGATAATCACAGAGATAAGGGAAGCATTTAGAAATTTTTCTAGAGTATGGGGCAGATACTTTTTTTTTGTTACTAATATATTTTTTTTTTACGAAACAGTTAATACTATGAAGAAAAAAAAACTATAGACGGTAAAAACCATGGAAAAACAGGTTTTTCCCCAAAACGCTAAAAATCATGATAAATGCCGGTTTAACCTCTCATAAAAATGCGTGAATTTTCCAAATTCTTGTCTCAATACTGCCTAAATGCATGCATATAAGATGATGACGGAGATAAAAAAAAATTAAAAAATTCTGAGTAAGAGAAAACTTTTTTTTTATTTTTTTATTTATTTTTTTTAAACAAAACAGTTAATACTATGGGAAAAAATTTATAGACTGTAAAAACCATGAAAAAAACATGTCCCCCCCCCCAATAATAGTAAATACCTGTAAAAACTTCACATAAAAATACCGTAAATACCGAGCTAACCCTGGATATTCTAAAAGACGATAGAGAACGCACAAAAAAAATTTCAGATTTTTGGTTAATTTTGTCAACTTTTTATAAGGTTCAACTCGGCGTAACTATAACAAAATAGCGTATAACATAAGTGTATTTGAATTATTTAGATTGTTGTAGTTCATTTACGTCGCCCTAGAGCTGCACAATGGGCTATTGGCGACGGTCTGGGAAGCATCCCTGGGGATGATCCGAAGACATGCCATCACAATTTTGATCCTCTGCAGAGGGGATGGCACCCCCGCTTCGGTAGCCCAACGACCTGCACGCGAAGTCNATTTTCTAAAATCGATTTCACAGCTTTAAAGAGGGATAAATAGCGATTCCGAAACACCTATTAAAAGCCTTTTTTCTTTAATATTTACAAAAGTTTGACCACTTGAAAGTTGACAAACTGAAAAAATGGGTAGACTCGCCCCGTTTTACGGTAATACTATGAAGAAAAAAAAACTATAGACGGTAAAAACCATGGAAAAAACAGGTTTTTCCCCAAAACGCTAAAAATCATGATAAATGCCGGTAAAAACCTCTCATAAAAATGCGTGAATTTTCCAAATTCTTGTATCAATACCGTCTAAATGCATGCATATAAGATAATGACGGAGATAAAAAAAAATTAAAATATTCTGAGTAAGAGAAAACTTTTTTTTTATTTTTTTTTTTTATTTTTTCAACAAAACAGTTAATACTATGGGAAAAAAATTTATAGACTGTAAAAACCATGAAAAAAACATGTCCCCCCCCCCCCAATTATAGTAAATACCTGTAAAAACTTCACATAAAAATACCGTAATTACCGTGTTAACCCTGGATATTCTAAAAGACGATAGAGAACACACAAAAAAAAATTCAGATTTTTGGTTAATTTTGTCAACTTTTTATAAGGCTCAACTCAGCGTAACTATAACAAAATGGCGTATTACATAAGTGTATTTGAATTATTTAGATTGTTGTAGTTCATTTACGTCGCCCTAGAGCTGCACGCGAAGTCGAGCTCTTTACGGTAGAACAGTTTAACGAGGACCAATACCGCACACCCTCGATCCCTACGCAGACTGATCCAAGTTTTCACTTACCCGCACACTGACCGCAGCCAGTGATGCTTGACTTCGGTGATCTGCCGGGAAGCGTTTCTTAATGATCAGTCCACTGCGGGACTGAATTAATTAGAAGTAGTAGTGAGAAAAAAACCCTATAAAATTTACTAAACCAAGAATCATATATTAAAAGACTATAACTCAAAAATATTAATCCGCTGTTGGGAGCAAGTTGGGATCACTGCATTAAAGTTTAACTAAACTCCCAAACTTTCCGTAACTTATTTTATATTGCATTCTAAAATGAAGATTTCCAAAAAAATATATTTTAAACATATGTTTATTGCACTTTTAAAGCGATTTTGAATTTTTGCTGTCATATTAGATTCATGCAATTTCAAAAAATCCTGCATTACTTCATAAAATAATTCCAAAACACAATGTTTGGTCGTAATAATTTATATAATCCAAAAAGGTTTATTTGAATCCAAAAATTTATAATAAATAACACTCAGGTTTATTATCTATAATTTCAAACGCAGTTTGAAAAATATTTATTAATATTTGAATGTATAACTGTAACTTGATACTAAAAAGATATGTGAGTTATGTTTATTTATCAGTAGAAGGTTGAATTCCAATGAAATTAGTTTTGTAAAATCAGAGCATTGGCCGGTATCAGTTAACTCAACCTTGCCAATCTAGAATATTATTCTTGTGTTACATGCTTTGCCACGTGACTAAGAATTTCTCAATGCATTTTCATTTTCAGTTTTGGGGTACATATCACGTTTTAACTCCCTATTCTTTTTGTTATAAAGAAAACAATATTAATTTAGGAATTTTTAAGAAGAGAGGGGTACGCTTCTTTTAAAAAACAAAGTAGGGGAGAGTGGGGTCAATTGTAATATTTTTTACTTAACTATTTTTAACTAACAAAAAATCCAATATATTATTAGTATTAA